ACTCAATTCTTTTGGTTGGGAGGACAGATCGAATTGTAGTGGCATCTGTGCACGGCATTTTCCTCCTCTCAGCGACTAAAATTTGACTGGAGCGTGTCTGATGTAGCACCGTCATTCCCCTCAGTACTTTTCGATATTTGAAACGAAAACCTGTGTCTTGGGCGGCCTGCACTTTGGCCATTGAAGGTAATAGTCCACCCGCCACTGCTTCGACCAACATAGACGCCTGATTGAGACATTCTCTGTTGGCTTCCTTGAGAGCTTTTCTGGCAGATCTAGCGTGTCCTGCTCTTTTCTTGGAAGGGGCTCTCATCCAAGGGACTGGAGACGGCTGAGATTCTTCGGGATCCAACGAAGCCTCAGCGTGCTCTCTTGTAGACGTATCCGCCTGTGTAGCGGATTGTACAGTCTTAGGTTGTGCACGTGTATCCGACTGTGTAGCACTCCGAGATTCGGAATGAGGTTCTTCATCACGCTGGGACTAAGTGCGCTCATTCGGGTCTACGCACACGACGTCTTCCTCTTCCAGCTGCTGCAATTCGATGTCTTGGTTTGAAGAATCGCGAGTAGTGGCTTGCAAAATGTTGATGTGTTCGAGTACAGTTTTTCAGACTGTAAAACGTTTTCAAACTGTGATCCACCTGTCGAATCAAAACTATTATCTTCGGTGGACACCAACTCAGTATTGTCATGATGCTGGCTGGTTGACGTCACACGAGGACACTGGCCGATCCGAACAGCATTAAAAAACCTTCAGCAACTCCTGCTTCAAATTTTCGTGCGCGGTGGTGTCCCACGTAGCTCCAACGTCAGCAACCTGCTTGCCTATACGTAGCAGCTCGTTGAACTTCTCGTTCTGCGACTTGGCACGTCCACACGATTGAAGGGGTATTTTTCTGTCTTCGTAAGGGAGCTCCACCGGCTCAGACGTTTCTATTCTCAGCTTTTTGTAGTTTTTAACCACCCAACGCGGATGTAGAATGCTTTCAGGAACGATATCGGTACTGCCAATTGCCTTTCGGTAGTATATGATATGGCGACACGGAAGAAGCCTCGTCACGCGGAAAATACACGAGCAAGTCCACGCGTTTGGATTCATCATGTACCCATTCTGAATGTCGTCCTCAGTATCTGCCGCGTACTGCATCATGATGTAGGGGCCCATGGGAAAATAGCGATATTTAGTCGTGGATAAAAGAGAAAAGTCGTACTGCTGCTTAATCAGTTGTACAGCGTGATCCGAAACAGTGTTTGACAAAGCATTAATCTCCGCATTCATGTTCACGCCAATTTTGTTAACAGCCCGCAGCCACATTTTCTCCTTCACAGTTTGCCAAAACAAGACAGAGACGACGCAATCATCCAGCGCAGTCGATCGATTCACCAGCGTTTTCAATTTCTGCCAGCTGGACCCAAGTCGGTTGTTGGTACGATTTCCCATGTGCGGGACGCTCCCACGATAGATAAGATCTCCACTGAATCTTGCAGCTCGTCCAATTTCGATCGAAATAGTCGAGTCATAGATGCACTTTAGCTTCAGATCGCAATACTACTTTCATCGTTGAGATCACATCGTCGTAGTTCTTTTCCGACCGTGAGCTAACCAGCAGCTGTATCAATCGTTTCATTTCCTTTTTCGTGTACGCGTCCAGGTTGTACTTGTCTTTGGCGACCTCCTCTTGTAGATACTTAACAACGTGAAAGTGGCACAGCAGAATAGGAAACTCCTCTTCCAAAACAGCCAGCTCTGTGAAGTCCTTATCCACAATAATGACAGCTAGCGAGTCATAGGACGGACAAGTCTCCTTGAACTGAGCACACGCCAATCACAACTTTTCCTTTCTCTCGTTTTGCAGTAAGCTGTGCTGTATATAGGCAATTAAAAGTATCAGTGAACAATTCAAAACTTTGCACAGTCTAAGACTGGGTCGCAATTATCGAGAATTCGTTTGATTTTGTACCTGAACATGTTGTCTTCCCCATAGCGTCGTGAATCATAAAACTGAACAACTTATAGTTTGATGAGTTGGTGTCGTGAGTAGCGTCTATCATCAGCACCTCCGGAAAGTGTCCAAACATTTGCCGCATGTGAGCGGACTGAATGGATATATGCACTCGACTATTTTCTGCAAAGACACAGATCCCAAACCATTAATATTTAAACGTAATTAGAAATTTAACCTCATTCTCACCTCTTCGTTTGAAAAGACCCGAGCGACATTCCCGGGCTTGGTAGAAAAATCCTCCAAAATGGATTTAATACGCCCCTCCAGAGATGGCAGATTGTAAGACTCTCGCTTTTGCTTAGCAACCAGGTTGTGGACGTCTTTCATCGTCGGTTCAGCGGTCGTACTCTCGGTTATGTGTTCGAGGATCCTCTTTCTATCAGCCCCGGCTCGATGGAGTGTGCGCACAGTTGACAGTACTTCTTCGTCAGAGACTTGTCGAGCCTCGTGGTACGCCTCGTACGACTCTAGGCTGAGATCATGGTTATGTGAAGTGATCTGCTTCGTAATGCAAATTTCCCAGATTCCTGTATCCCTAACATAGGCATTAATCTAGACACCACAAGCACCGTTTCAGAGTTACAATCCTCGGCGTCGGCATGAAACAGAACAAACCCCTCCTGAGCTGGACAACCAATCTTCCTCGAGTGCTGCGTGGGACGCTTTCCACCACTTCTGCTGCGCCGTGGACTGCCGTGGTGTGTACACACGAACGTTTTGTTATAGAATTCCAATTCCTCTGGAATCCTTTTGCGCGATGTCTGGTTCTTTTTGATCCTGTCGTTCCGCGTCTTAACCGGAGTCGCAGTACGCACGGAGTACAACTACACCGTACGAAAAAACGCTAGTTAGACTCTCGAACTGAGCCTGTGGCGCTGTCTGAGATATAAATGTGACAAATTGGTACGTTCGTCTGCTGTAGCTGCTCAAATAGCTTTCCAGCTCTCCCCAACTCGCAAAGAGTTTAACGTCCAGCTCGGGAGCCCGTACACTTTCTTGAGATGGGACGTCTGGCGAGTTGGTCTCGCCAAGATGCATGCTGACGGAGGCAGCAGAGTCCGATTTCTCAGCAGTAACTTCAGCATCTACGTCTAATGCCATAGATAAAGATTGCCGTCTCGATCGTCTCGACTTGCGTCGCGAATACCGCTTCTTTTGTCTCTTGTTCCTGTGTTTCCGCGGACGGGACCTTCGCTTCTTCCGCTTCTTTGACGCACGCGATGAAGCATCCTCCGAACTTCCCGAGTCACCCTCATCTCGCTCACTGGCTGACGAGTCGTATCCCGAGGTCTCACTGCGTGCCGAGGTGTCTTCGCTGTCCTCAGAGGTTTCCGGGAGCCTGCGGGCGCGGCGGTGGGTTGGTCGGCGCGACATCGCTGGGGAGGAAAATGGAGCAAATGGGGGGATCCGACACAGCCACTGGTTTTCACAGTCAGACGGGGCCCTGGCCCATCTGCGCGGATAGGAGATACACCGGCCCACTGTACGAGTCTCACTCTAGACTAAAAATGCCCCTTTTAATTACTCCACTTTCCAACGAGCACAAGAAAGGACGATTCACACTTTTTTTTTTAGCAAAGATGACTATTTTTAAGTTGCCCGTCACAAAACCTATTTGAGCTTAGCCATCACAATTAAATCATCCTTGCCAATCATGAGGGGTACGAAATACCTTTGAACGATATCCTCTGTATTCTTGTGGACTAACGCTTGTTGTGTCGCGTGTCAGACGCCCAGGAGGTGATCGAGCTGCTCAGTAGTAGCGATGAGTCGTCGTCCAGTGACTCAGAGCTGCGCCGACACGCTCTGCACCGCAGCAGCAGCAGCGAGGAGGAGAAGGTGCAACTTAAGCCTGCTAAGCGCTGTTTGGTGCACCCCCCGCGCAGGAACAAGCGCGCGGCCCCCAGCGAGAATGAGAGCGAGAGTAGTCAGAGCAATGCAGACAGCGACGACCTCGAGCAGAGACTGGCGCAATTGCAGCGATCGAAACGTTCTCCCGCTCCAAAAAAGGCTAAAGTTGCGCTACCGAATCGTACTAGACCCGACCCCACAGCGGACGGAGAGATGCGCGAGATCACCGAAGGCATGAATTTCTACGAGCTGCAGGCCCAGCAGCAGATAATGGAGCGGATCCAGGCCCAGAACCGTCGAAAAGCTCAGCAAAAGGCTGGAGATAGGGGCACGGCAGAGCTGCAGGCCCAAAAGAGGACGTTCAGCCAGCTCCACGTGCAAAAAGGGCGCAAATCGGCGCCACCGAAGAGGAAAGTGGACAGTGCAAGTGAGGAGAGCGAGGAGAAGGAGAGCAGCGAGGAGGAATGGGACACGTTTACCAAAAAGGCGGCGCAACGGGAAGTTTTGCGGCGACAGAAGGAAACTGCGACGGTAGGAACGAAAATGGGTGCTCGGCCAGTGGAAAAGTCGCTCCGCGGCTCAAAGCCGAAGACTTTAGATCTTCGGATGAACAGTGACCGTCACAAACTTAATAAGACGAAGCAAGCAGCGAGGAAAATGGCTACATCCAGGCCGCATGAGCAGCAGAGACGACCTGTTCTGGCTGTAAACAGCGGTACAATGATGCAGGAAGGGCAAAATGTCGATTTTAAAGCCAGGAAAACGAGGCCACGGAGCAGCTCGAGTGGAGAGGACAGCGAAGAAGAAAGTGAGCAGGAGAGCGAAGAGGACGAAGCGGAAGTGACTGAACGGGCCGCTGGAGCCGCGCCTCCGAGTAAAACGCAGCGTGAAAGTCTGCAAACGGATGTGCAAGCGACTGTGCGGCTTCATGGGACGAGCGAAACGCAGTATATAAAGGAGCAACTGTCTTTTACGGAGCTGCAAGAGCAGGAGAAGCTGATGGCCTTTTTCAGGAACCAGAAAAGGCGCAGTGCGACTGCTGCGTCCAAGGGAAATGGACTCAATGCGAATGGCACAACTACCGGTAGTACAGCCAAGACAAATGGACAAGCTAAGACGAATGGCAGTGGCCGTCGTGCTCGAATGGGGGTCAGTAGCGACCACGAGACGCCTGATACTTCGTCGTCGTCGTCTTACCTCGTCCCGCCCGCTCGAAACGGATTCCTGGCATCCAACGCTTCGTTCGTCGCTGTGGCTGGCTGCACTGCTACACCCGCTGACAAGCTATCGAATCCTGTCATCCATTCGACAGCTTGGCGACGTCTAATCTTCGAAGACGCGCCACCCAATATCTTGGAGGGCGTGGCGGCAATCCCGTACGCTATCGGTACGTACGTCGGTCGCATCGTTGCGCTGTTTGGTGGGTCCGCTAACGTGTTGAAGCTGCCGTGTAGGCTCGGATAAACCTCTCTGGGATTACGACAAAACTGGAAGGCTCAAGGAAAAGTGCAAGTTTGTCGACGCAGTTGGGCAAGGAGTCGCCATGACGGAGGATAACTTCGAGATGCTGGTGAGGGAGCGATTGCTTACGGACGGCTAGCTCACCGCCCCAATAGTATGCGCTGAGGTTCTGATAATCTTTGCGTTTGTGCTACATGGACCCGCTGTAGGCTCCAAGTCAGTCAGAAATCAACCACCAAGTGCGAGATATGGCGAACCAAGAGTTGCCGCTTATTCAAAAGTGTCATGCACGCAGAGTGCGTCGAATTGTGAGAGATACGAGGAAACAAGTGTCTGAATATCTCCAGACCCATCAAGTTATGCGAAGTGAGCGATACCGGCGCCTCCAGTGGTCGGAGATCGCGAGTAAGTGTTGCGGTGCTGCCTTGTTTCTAGTACGTACGGCCTCTTATTGGCTCGCTTTTTGTTTGTCTTGGAGCAGACCACCAGTCGTGGCTAGATATCGCTCCTATCGAACGTGCTACGGCCAAGAGGGTGTTGCAAAGTCGAACCCACAGTGTCCATCCATTCTCCTCTGTAGCTGGCGACGTCCGCTACTCGGTGCACCAAGATCAAACGCCTCTCCCGACTTTAGTGTGTCCGGAAACAGTGACCCACCTGCCGAACGACATCACTCCAATTCGTCGCTCTTTCACGATGATTGGAGTCCGGAAGAACGCCTTTGTGGAGGACGACCCCATTCTAAGGTATGTGCCGTATCTGGGCGACGGAGAGCGCATGGTGATCGACAACAATCTCTACACGGAGACAACGATGAGCAAAGAGCGTCGGATCGCGGTATTGGGCGAAGGCGAGGACTTGAAAGTGCTGAATCCGGGCACAAGAGACGACGAGGTGATGGCGTGTCTCCTGCGTGTTATTGTGGGGACATGTGGAGCCACAGAGCAAGTTTTCCTGGCTCTCCAACACGGGGCAGGATTCGACCGACCACGCATCGATTACTGCGAAATGAAGGAGACCTACAGGGCGGAACAACGCACAGCAAATCGGATCGCTAAAGTCAGGGAACTGCTCGCAAATCGACAAGAATCGTCGGCCTGTAGAGCTCTGCGCAGACTCTCGCGGCCGTGCTGGTTTCTCCAAAGCAAGGAAGTTCAGCCACTATCTATAAGGTTGCAGCCTCCGCTGTCCGTTTTCGAATCCAACTACGCCCACGCTACAGCAGACGCATTGGGTCTACGCGATCTCAGGACGTTCGAAGGACTGGTGGAGTGGCATCGCGACCTCTTTTGTCGACGCTGCTTCAGCTATGATTGCTCAGAGCACGGGATCCAGAACCCTCAACGCAGTATTCGGGCGGATCCGGTCTATCCGATGGTGAATGCGCCGTGTGTTACGCGAAACAGGCAAGAAGTATCAGTACTGGATCAGGACCCAGACAAGAGCTCGACGTCCTCGACGTCTCCAGAAAACGCACAAGTCATCGAGTTGACCAGTTCGTCGTCGGAAGATGAAAGCAAGAGCCAGCAACCGTCTGTCACTCCACCCGAGCCCTCTCCGACAACAGGATACCGTCGTTCGAGACGAACGCAGACCCGGATCAGCTCGTTGGCAACCAATAGCCTCGTGACTCAAGAGAAGCTGCTGGAATCGGAGCGGCAGACCGAGCTGGAGAAGCGACGAAAGAGACGAGAGAAGTTTGCGCGATCGGCAGACAATTCCGAGTACCTGGACAATTCATACCTCCCGGCTGTGGCCTCTACGTTGAAGAAGTTGCTGTCCAAGTCGCAGGCCTGCGGCCTCTCGTGTTGGATCGATACGGATGCAGCTGAAAAGTTTCCTCCTTTGAAGCAGGTTGACGCTGTTCTAGTGCGCAAGTTGGCGTCTTCACTTGGACCAAACGCGTGTGTTATCTCGGCGATTCTCGAGAGTCCAAGCTGCACCTGTGCACAGATCTCGCGGTTCCTGATCGAGGAGAAAAGACGACGAGACAGCGGAGACGACTTCGGCGCAGAGAGCGATCTGTCCGTGCCAGCTGGAAGACAGCGCAAAGGACGACATCACAGCTCTGGCGTGGGCTCCAACAGGTCTCTGGCGAAGCGTGTGCGCGAACAGCGCTCTTACGACCGCGAGAAGAAGCTCAGCTACAAGCCGTGCAACCACGACGGCGTCTGTGACGAAACGTGTGACTGCACTAAGCGCGGCCACTCGTGCAACAAAGCTTGTTCCTGCCCTCGAGACTGCCCCAAGCGCTCGCAGGGATGCAAATGCGCACTGGGGAACTGCCACAAGTCTTCCTGTCCGTGTCGGATCGCAGGGCGAGAGTGCGATCCCGACTATTGCTTTACTTGTGGAGCCAGCGACGCGGCAGTCGCGGCATTTCACTCGGAATTCAAGAAATGGAGCAGCTGCAATCTCAATATCTGCCAAAACGTCAACATGCTGCGCGGGAGTATCCAGAAAAACGTGGGCGTGGCGTTCTCGGCGACGCACGGCTGGGGCGCGTACGCTCTGGAGCCAATTCGCAAGGATGAATTCGTGTTGGAATACACGGGCGAGTTGATCTCGGATGAGGAGGCAGAGCGGCGAGGCGCCATCTACGACCGCAAGTGTGTGAGCTACTTGTTTGGCGTCAATAGTGAGTACGTGGTGGACGCGGCCAGGAAAGGCAACAAGGCCAAGTTCGCCAACCACAAAGCCAAAGAAGAGGCGAACCTGGACGTCAGGATCATCGCTTCCAATGGAGAGGACAGAATCGGACTCTTTGCGAACGAAGCCATCGAAGTGGGCTCAGAACTCTTCTTTGACTATGGCTACACACACGACAGCGCTCCCAAGTGGAGTCAGCACGACAAGCCCACACAAGGAGAGAAGCGGGTGTACGACGTTGTGGATGATGAGAATGAGTGGGAGTACGTGGCTTGCTTGTGCTTTTGTGGGGTGGAATTTTGGGAGTTGGTATGGATTAACTTTTTGTGAATTGTGCTGCAGACAATGGGAATAACTGGGCTAAGTGCAAGATAAGAAATGATTATTCGAAGTAGCTCGTGTGGCGCCCAGTGCGATTAACTCATTAACCCGCGAGTATACAGCCAAAGGTTTGTCCACTTTTCGCAATGGCGTTCAAAAAACAAAAACAACATTTATCCATGGCAACTGTACTGGTAGCGACTCTGATGGGCTAGAACGCACCCGTACACTGGGCTGGCGCGTAAGCGCTGTTGACGATGTACGCTGGAACCACAGGCTGTGGCCACCACAACTGTGGCACAGCGTTGTGGTGGCGCATTACCAAGTGAGTGTAATCGCAGATGCGGGCAAACTGCACACACACATGACGAGATTATGCGGCTCAATCCGGTGTATACGAGTGTACAAAACTAGGGCAACATCTTCACATTACGAGCAGCAACCCCAGCAAAAGACCAAGCTCACTTTCCATACTGCCGTCAGCAACAATACCCAGTCATGTCTACTAACAAGTTGTTAGGGGTGGCGTTGTTACTAGCAACACCACCCCTGCCAAGATGACATACCGTTTCCTCGGTAACTTTGGTCTACTCGTGTCCAAGATGGCGCTGGGTAGTTGGATGATCTCCAACGAGTATCACACGCGCGATGGCTGATACGGGATGAGAGATTGCCTTCCAACACGGTGTCAACTTCTTTAGCAACGCCGAGGTGTACGGCAACTGCAAGGCCGAAGAGTTCATGGACGCTGCTATCCAACGCGGTATCGCCGACGGCATGTGGACCCGCGAAGACCTCAGGAAATCGAGTGGACCGTTAAGTTCGCATCCATTCGGATGTTTGACCGAGTAAACTGCTTGTTTGACTATTCGTCGAAAGATTTACGATTCCTAGTATCCATACTGTACAGCACAGTATTCTGGAACGCCTGATATATATGCCAGTCTGTAGTACATTGCTCAAACAAGTTTGGAGCGAAAAACAGCCTGTATTGATATAAGTTAACAAAACAAGTAATTGATGCTCGCTTTGTTAGCTAAACCCGAATGTTTGAATGGTTGTCGCGCTCATCTTCGACCACGCACCCTCTCACCACATCAATGCAGTAAGTAAATCCACTTTATAAGGCGTGTCCTTCTCCTAAGCGATTTAATGCATGCATCACTTTTTTTATAATAGAGTAGCCTTCTCCACTGGCTGCTTCAGTAGTGTAGCTGACGCCTTGCACATGGTGGCTTTGCCGGGAGTGGTTGGGAGACAGAACTCGTTTACGGCCCATTCAGCGATTGCCTTGTACGTTTGTACTGTAGGACATAGTACGAGAGAGTGACCACCTTCTCGGCCCAGGTAAGGCGTAGCCGCCTCGTAGGATTGCGGGGCATGGCGGATTTGGTAGCTTAGTAACGGCGGGATGTGAAGGTCTGTTAAACTACATGCGCATAGTATGCATGTATTACATACATGTGCAAGGCGCCAAAAGCGCGCCAATTTCAAATGTTGAAATGTACTGGATTTTTTGCTTGCACCTCCGGTGGATTCAATCTTAGCTTAATGCCTTTGCACATCTCCTTCTTGTCGTGCTGATAGGGCGGTATTATTCTTTGTGGTAGTTTATGCGCTCATGACCCGTTCACTATTCACGCAAAATACTGTATTACAAATGACGGATTACAAGATTTTGTTTTCTCTGTTGATAATTCCTCCATACTGTGAATGTAATTCTTGTGACCTGCACTGGATCCGTATATCCTAGGATCTCTACACTCAGAAGGAAAATGAAAGAATGAATTTGTGTCTTAGCTCTTCCAGATTCAACTACTACTTAAGCGGGCTTCAGCCGCTTCATACGCACGTCCCCGACAACTCATACATCCGTTAAGCTCATAACCGCTTCAGCGCTTATCATCAGCTGCCAGGTCCAAAGTGTGACTATCTGTCTCCGTACTCCACGTAGACTTCGTCACTAACATGAATCTGGATTCCAACACACCTTCCTCAACGTACAAACTTCGACTACTCAGTATCTCCAATTCCAACTAGAGCAATCAGATTCTTAAGACGCACTTTGTCGAGTGGTTTTGTAAAAGCATCCGCTGGATTCACATCACCTCGCACCCTGTGCAAATCAATTACTCCACGTTCCACTTGTTCACGCACGAAGTGCCAGAGCAGCTCGATATGTCGAATTCGACGGCTGTACGTAGGATTCGTAGCTAGCACATGAGCAGCCTGGTTATCAATTCCAATGCGTAGCTTCACGTTCTTCTTTGGAAATACCTCTCTCAGAATATTACTCTCAGCTACGGCATCCACGGTTGCCTCACAAGCGGCCACATACTCTGCCTCAGCGGTTGACAAGGCAACAATCGTCTGACGTCTTGGCATCCACGAGATTGCCCCACCAGCTAATGCGAACACGAATCATTTCGTGCTTTTCCGAGTTTCTGGGTCATTTGCCCAGTCACTATCACAATGCCCGTCGAGAATTATAGCTTCCAGCTCAACTAGCTGTCGTTTGTATGTTATTCC